GAGCCGATATTTCTTAATAAAAAAAAAGGTCAATTTTAACGTTTTATTTAGATTACAAAAATAAATCGTAGTAAAAATAATCCCATTTATGATGTTTTAAAAAATAAGACCTACGAAAGACTGATTTAAGACATTTTAATACCAATTAAGGCCTTAGTTTTATTTTGAAGAATTCAATGCCTTTTAAGACTTTTTAAGGACCTGCAGGAACCCTGTGTCTTCATTTCTCACTGCAGAGAATGAAGACAATGTGATCTGGAAAACGCATTTTGAAAAAAATGAAATTTGTAAAACCCAATTAGAAAAAACATAAACAAAAAAAAAATAACAATAGGACAAAATTTTTATATATTTTTTTAAACAATCTAAGAAAACATCTAATTGCTTCTCAAAACCTTTTTTTGGATGAAACACTTGTTTAAGTTTTACGTATGGGTTGCCTTCCTTTTTCAAATTTGGACGCACTTCCAACTTGACTTATTTATTGTAAAAGCAAAAACAAAAAAAGACAATTACAAAAAATATCTTGAAACTTAGTAGAAACGAAATTTAATGTTTGAAGCTCTAAAGAAAAGTGGTTAAAAAATAATTTTTCAAAACCTCCGGTCCGCACCAGACATTAACCGACCCATCCATCAGCACCCGCTCTGCTCTTAATCACTCAAATTAATGGGAGGGTTTAACAATTCAGAACCTAAACTATTCCAAATATAAAAAATTTATAAAAAATTTCGTTTCTAAATTAACTTAAATATATTTTACATACCATGAAAACTGAATTGGTATAAATAAATATTTGGCATAAATGGCCACAACAACTGTCAGTATAAAATCTGTGTCCTTGCGTCTTATCTAAACGTTTACGCGAGTCTCCTTATCTTGCACATGTAAATGGGTCCAAAGTTAGCGGCCAGATGCGGGACGACCATCTCGCCCAGGTGGAGGTCAGGAGCAAAGTGAAAAGTGTTCTGGAACATCCGCACCAGAGGTCTGAGACTGACCACCTGCATGGAGGCGAGAAAAAGGAAAGAGGTCAGGACGTCGGTGGTCGCAGTGACTCAGCCGCCGCCCGGCGATCTACGGACCTGCAGCCGGATGCCGTGGTTCTCCTCCGCTAGCTGGACGGCTCGCTCCACCACGCCCAGGTTCTGGCTGGGACAGAGGGTGCAGGTGGAATACAGAACCTCGCCTCCAGGACAAGCAGCTATGATTCCCGCCCTAAAAGGGAGGCGGAGGTGAAAAACGATCCAGAAATAAGTAAAAATGTCTTAATTCGAGTAGGTAAATGAGATAATTTACAAATAGAATTAGTATTTTTACTCTTAAAATAAGATAATTAGATAAAATGCACTTGAAATAAGACAATGCCATTGTGTTTTCTTATTTTAAGTGTTAATTGTCTTGTTGCATTGGCAAAATATCTGTTTTACCTCCTCAATCCATGACCAAATGCACGGATTTTAAGAAAAAAAAAAGACCTTTTCCAGTGTAGAGAAGCAACAGATGAGATGAAAAACGCTTCAATGGTGAAAAGACTTTACACTTTAGGGAGAGCTTCTTCCTTTAATCATATTACTAACCAAAAACATTGACCGTGTGATGCAGGACATGAGAGAGACTGTTGGGTTTATTCAATGATGATTATAAAATTAATGTGTGCTTCTGAAACATTTGTGCGAGGGGATGCTCCACTCCTGTCTCATGATTCAGTAAGGAGACCATCCTGCCTTGTCATTCTGATGGAGCATTCTGTCTTTATGAACTGATCAATTGTTCTGTCAGAACAATACTCTGTTTGTAACCATGCGTCATGTTCTGTTAATAAAACGCTCTGCAGAGGAGGTCCGGTGGGAGACGGAATGTTTGAGTCTGGGGTTCAACTGTCTCTCCTTCCTGCAGGAATTGTACCGATAAGTCTGTATTTCAGTTCTTTTTTTAGAAAAAAACCTATTCATGACCCCGACAGAGACACAGCCACCTACTGTCAAAATAAAAGGTTTGTAAAATGAGTTGACAGAAGAGTGAAGGTCCCCCTCTGGTCCGCTGCGGTTCCCTGGAGTCCAGAACCATCAGAAGTAAGGATATCTCCGTCCGATCACGAGATCGGCCCGATCTTTTCCTATTTTCCGGTGACCTGAGCTCGGCTACATCAGCTGACGAGTCTTCACAGCAACTGTCGTAAAGAAACCGCTAGTTATGGTTGATGGTAGTTGTGTATTAGGGCCCTGTCACACCTTGTCGATTTATCCAGCGTCTGCCTAACGTCCTGGAATCTCCTAAAACGCAGGCGTACGCTAGCCTGACGTAGTCCGACTCAATTCTAGTCAGAATGAGTCTGATGCTGCTCCATAGAGCTGTGCTTATGGGGCGTGTTTTGAACGAACCAGGAAAAAAAATGCCTCTGCACTCAATTGGATAGACCTACAACCAATAAGAGCAACGGAGTGCGTGACGTATGTTAA